GCTTCACCATAGCTACCTTGTCCTTACATACTTATCACCTTCCCATCCCCATGTTCTGGTCCTCCAGTCTGTGATCTACCTCCACTGCCCAGTAACTTCCCTCTTCTCTGCCGGCAAAGCATTTCCTGTGTACGTAACTCACCCTTGATGGGATCTGTAGGGATTTCTCTCTCCACCAAGCCCCCCTGACTCTCAGCACATGGCGTTTCCTCTTGTTTAATCCATGAGCTGTCGCTGGGAGTAGAAATGGGAGATCCTGTTCACGGGAAGGAGAATGACATTAGATTTCTCTCACATCCGCTGAACCCTTTAGGGAGGATTTCAGGGCAGATGGCAACAGCTGGCTGGCGCCAACACTAGCTGTGAATGGCGAAAACTCCCACAGAGAAGGAACATGTTGCTCGAGCTCATCAGAAGAAATATAACAACTACAAGAGCACAGGAAGATCATGTTAATTTCCTGCCCTTGATGACTTCTTGCTGCTTCCAGTTGCTCTGGTCAGTTCCTCCTCACCTGTGCTGGGATCCGGCGGGGTTTCTCTTTTTTGAGATTCCTGCTGTTCCTGGACTCGAGACTCTACCCCGGCTTCAATCGGGGACTGAGCATCAGGCGTGGAAGCAGCATTGTCTGTTCATGGGAAAGGACATTAAGGGGATTGGGGTTTGGTTAATAATTCACTGAGTTCACACCTACAAATCCACAGACTCTTTCACTAGTTTAAACCAGCCCCCTTCCATCACCAGAGGCCATGGCTAGCACCCATGGCAGTAAATGAGAGGGTGGCTGCTCTTTTCGTAACCGACAGGGCTGACGTGGGACTGGCTCGCTTTGTCTGGGCTCAGGCACTGTGAGCTGATCACAGGAGCGCTCCCCGAATCTGATCAGCCAAGTAGTGTGGAGCAGGATACGCTTTAGGTACCCCCCATCATGCATGGGGAGAGAGATCAGGAAGAGGGGCTCCCTACCTCCTTGTGCATAAGACCAGAGTCTTCCAGAGGCCAGGCTAGCAGGTGCCTACAGCCTGAGCAGCATCTGGCACTTCCAAGATCTGACTGATACTAAAGGAATTTTCAACTCATCTTTACCCAGCGAGATCAACGTCTCATAGTTGTTCCTCATTGTGTTCTTGTGAAGCTCCTCCCGCCGTTGCTCTAAAACCCCCCACTCCTGCCCGGAGAAACAGCCCGAGACCTCATCGAACTTCACAGGGACCTGAAATCACAAGCGTCACACCCTCAGCACCTCCTGCCCCCACTGGGTATTCAGCATCTCCCCTCCCCAGCACAGTGTCACACAAACCTCCTTCATCATCACCTTCAGAGCGTGACGCAGCTCACCCCTGCCTCTCACAGCGCCCCCAACGCTCCCTCTCATGCCAGTACTCTGCCCAGTCCCCTCTTCTTAACACTCTGTCAGCTTCTCCAGGTTCTGACTTTATGTCTCTTCTCATGCTGCACTTTACATCCTGAAAGCTTCCAGCAGTGCGTATGCCAAGCTTTCTCCCTCATGCCTTCTCCAAACCCAATACTTTCATCTAGCCTTCCACTGCTGACTGGGCATGGCTCTACTCCCCTCTTCATGCCTTAGCCTGCAATAGTTTGATTGATGTAACCGCAGGTACCTTGCCCCTGGCCCCCTCAAACCTCTCCCTGCCAGCAGGGATACCTGCTCGCCGAATCTGTGATCGCTCTATGGGAGGAGACCATGGCTAGGATGCTCTGGACCAATTAATATCACCTGTTTTCCCTTTACCCCCTTTCCTCCTCTCTCTGGGTGCCGAATCAGCAATTGCATCCCTCGCTCCTTATGAAGGAAAATACATAAAACCAAAGACTGGCACTTAAACTGATCACTGACCAGTTGCATACTACGAAGAGCTGCAGGCTCAATACTACAGGTTAACTCTCGATTACCAACATTCAAATCGATAGCTCTAGACTACACTTGCTAATTTCCTGTTCTCATTGCATGGCTCCCTGTACTCACTCCGGATCTGAGAGCCTGTCATAGCATATTAGGATAAGACAGAGTGTCTTGTAGTTCTCCCCCTTTTATTGGTCTGTAGATGGGGAGGAGCAGAATGGAACCAAGGAGCCCCGACCAGTGCTTCGTTGTGCACCCAGTCTATCCAAGCCATTTTGTAACAGACCTGAATATCCCTGGGCTACACACCCCTGGGACATCTAATAGAGGGGACAGCTTTACTTCTGCCCCTCAGTGCTAGCTGGGATACTGTTACCTTGGGGACTTCTCCCTGGGCGCCTGGGGGAAGTTTTAGGATCCAGACATCTTTTTTCTTCAGCAGGTTCTCCATGTTCTCCAGCCTCCTCTGCAGCAGCCCGTACTCCTGGATCAGAGTTCCCAGCACGGCCCACTTACTCTCCAGCTGGTTCCCAAACTCCACCACTGTCCTCTCGCAGCCGACTAGTTTGTTCTCCGCCATCCCCATTCTTCCCTCTAGCGTCAACAGTCGCGTGGCATGCGACTCCACGGCTGTCTCCACAGTCACCTCGGGCCACATGGCAGTCTGTTCCAGCGGCAGCTGCATTTCTGCCTCAGAAGTATGATCAGAGGCAGCCGGGGGGGTTAAAGGCACTGGTTGCTCTGCTGTGACATCCCATTGCGGAGCCTGCTTGCAAGGAGAAAAGAAGAGATCGGCGACAAAG